ATAACGATAATATAATCTGCATCTCTAATTGAGTGACATTCAAATAATTTTATATGGTTTGTGATCATCATAATGTTAACTTATTGTTTTCAACATTAGAATTAATAATATAAGTTAGGTTTTTAACATGAAATTTATTAAATAAACTTAATTAACCCAGAATTTGCATAATTATTATACTATCAGCGATATCTGGTTCTTTAAAGAGATTAACTTTAATAAATATATGATAAAAAATATATATACTGTGTTGGCACTGTTATTTAAAGAACTATGGCAAAAGCTATAATTCTATTTATATGCGAGTTAATTTTCACAAAAAATTTTGGATTACAAAAATAATAAACTATTTTAAAGATAACATGCTGTCGTATACATCATACATGTGCGATCATGTAATTGTTTTCCGGAATACAGTACAAAGAGAATGTAAAATTAAACACAATGTAATTCGATTATATGATGTTAATTTGCACTCGAGTGAGTTATTTTTATTAAGGGCGCTTTCAAGCATAAAATATGGACCTTACTGTTTATTGTTCGACTATTGTTATAGAGTGTTTCATAGTCTGTTTCATGAATCATCACGTTGCAAAGACAATTATCATACTTATTCGTAAATTTTGACGGTAAGGACCTAACTCAAAATTATTATTTTTTTTTTTTTGATAGGTTTCCTTTTTGATTCGTATCACTTATTTCGCGTGCATTCTGATTCACAGTATACAATTTCCTCTCCACATAATCACAATTGGTTTTACCACAAAATCCCGAAAGAACATAATACCGACCAAATTAGCCAGCATTATAATTAATGCCGGCTAATTTATAAAGAAAATTTTTAATAAATTTTTGTTAAGTTTTAATGTTTTCTATTGTAAATATGTCGGTTAATAAAATATCCTCATATCTACAGGCCATCTTAAGCGAACTAATTTGAATGCCGTTCAATGAACAATTTATCAGACTCCGAAACGCCATGGCCACGCTTAAAAATTAAAAAAGTTAGTGTAATTGCCTTAAACAAGTTGTACCTTTACAGCCAAATATTCTGTCCAATAAGAATAGAACGCATTTCACTCTCCATAGAGTTGCAGGTAACAGCATCTCCATCAAAATCAAAAAATAGAATAAAAAAACGCCAATGAGTTTTTTTTTTTTTTAAAAAAAAAAACAAAAAAAAAACAAAAAACAAAAATGCAAGGGAGATCTTTTAATTCTATGTTTACAGTATTACATATTTAAAGCATTTATGTAATTATTACAATAGGGGTTTGAAATTTTAAAATACAAATACGAATTTTTAAACCCCTACTTATCTATCGTAAAACGAAAAAATTAAAATCACTTGTATTTAATGTATAAATAATATTTTAAAAAATTAAATTGCAATTAAAACTAGATTATTCGTCACGAATGTTATTGTGTGCAGGCTTTACAGGTACTATATTTTTTGCGGAGTTAAAACCCCGGGGTATTATATACAGTACGCGGCCACAATATTAGAGATACTATACATAATTAAAATTGATAATCTCATATCGATATATTAACAGTTAATTAATTAATGATATGTAGTACGTATTCGGATCTTTTACTAAAAAGGAAGTAGGGTGTATGTTTAAAATACGCTAATTTTGAACCCCCTAATAATAGTTGAGAAAAGGGACGAATTTAGCAAAAAATGAATTTTATGAAAAATCGATTTTTGTTATAATAATTTTAAGAGCTACGTATCTTGTAAAAATTTATTAATGTAACAATATTTATACCTTATATATAAAATATGTTTCTGATTTTACGTATTTTAAATTGAATTATAAAAAAAAAATTTTTAGATTAAAAACCATTAGTCCTTTTTTTTAGCCCTTATATGTTTCAATTTAACTAAGCTTTGAAAAATTTTTGCATACGTATTCAAAATCTTTATCAATTACATGAAGTTCATTTAATATTTTGAACTATTTTTTTTTTGATACATAATATTAAATAACTTAATTAAGGCTAAAATATACTAATTTAGATTTATTTTTTATATTGTTATTTAGAGTATACTTTTCTTAAATGTTTACAGGTTTGTATATAATATCTTCAAGTTCTTTAGATTTTACAATATTTCTTCTTCTAAATATGTAACTTCCAACCGTTGCTCTTTTTTTGTTTTCATTTATACAATTAGGTAGGCACTTATTATACATTTCATTATTATTAGAAGTATATTTGTTTATATTTAACAAAATAGACAAGGTTTTGAATTAACTAAACAAGAGATTTTATATTATGCTAAGTAAAAAAAAAAAAAAAAAAAGTTATTTAAAATTTTAACATCAATAAATAAACCTTTATATTTGTTTCTATAATAAAACTATTAAGTGTATTAAATTACGTCAGTAAATAAATATATGCCTCATATAATAGATTTGATAATGATACTACTAGGCGGAGCACAAAATCCATTGTAAAATTTCGGAGATTTCCGTTTCTTCATGACAATTTCCGCCTTGACTTTTCATCAGTCGGAAAATTTCTGAATATGATATCATATATACGTATGTATATAAATATTAATAAATATTACAATATCATAATTAAAAAACTGCTACATCCAGCTGAGTTTTCTAAGTTCCGGTTAAAATAAACACCGCCGGAGAAAAAGCAGCTTCCGGCATTCGGAAATTTTGTGCCCTGCTACTAGGTTTGTAAATGCAGGCATAACTTAAAGTTGTAACTTTTGAGAATATTTTGTTATTATAACTTTTAGCAGCATGTGGCAAAATTTATGTCATTATCATATTACATGTGTAACTAGTATTGTATACTTTCTGTATAAAGTGATAATAAAATATAATATTAAATCAAATAATCACTATACCTAATTTATTTAATATACCAAAATTTTTTATGAATAGATTATATTACTGTTGCATACACTTTCATCTTCTAGTGAAGCAAACTATGGTGGATAAAGTTATATACATATCAGAAGTTGAAGATGAAATAGTTTTAAGAATAAACAAAAATAATTATTGTAGAGCTGAAACTAAGATTAGATTATAAAAAATTTTGAGTTTTTTAGGATTAGATTAGGGTTTAAGGAAATAATTGTTAAAAAAAAAAATATATATATATGGAATGAGCAAGTACGGAATTATAGATTTAAATCAGGATTCTAAACTTCAACTTAAGCCAAAATTTATCTTAAAGCCGCAAAAAAAATTATTCGTATGGGCTCGGATGTTTAATGGAATTTAGTGAAAATAAACAGAAAATTAAATCAGAAAATTATAAATTTACATATTATTTCGATCACAGGATCATAATGATAAATTTTTTCTAATAAAATCAAAAGAAAACAAATAAAATGATTTATAAGCGGGTTAATAACGGTTGAATAATCGTAAAAAATAATCAATCAATCAAAAATAAAAATCAGTAAAAAAATGAAAACTTCTTATTATCGGTTTCATAAGGGTTTCATAAGCTTTTTATAACTGAGAAAAGCAATTAACCAATTAAATTCATAATACAATCCAATTTTATTAAATTTTTATATTTTAATCCAAGCAAAAATACTAGGTTAATAGAAACTATTAATGGTCCGAAGATTTAGTTATTTCTTCTTTTTTTCTGAAAAACCAAAAATGATTTTCATTCTAACAACCAATCAAATCCCACATCGGTGTTACACAAAAACTTACCGAATTTTATATCGATAAGGCAATATGTATGAGGCGGATTTATTTAAAATTAGATAATAAGAATTTATAAAATTTTATCCAATCATTTAAAGTGATTTAAGTGATATTATTGTCTTGAATGATACTGTATATATTCCTATAATAAACCGAAAGATTATGTTATTTTCGTTATTACACTTTATATCATAGTTGTGACACTGAGAGTAAACAATGAAAGAATTGCTAGAAGGTTATAATATAAACTATCACTAATATAAACAAAACAATATTGGCTTTTAGTTAGAAATTTATATATAATTTGGCAGAGAATTGATTTTTAATTGTTTGATCTTACATATATAATTTATCTAAGAATAATGTATACTAACCTGTTATGACCTCTAGAGATTCCCGATCTCAGGACCCACGGATGTTTAATTCCGTAAATATTTGCCTCATGTTTGGTTTCCCAATTAAAGTTAAATTTTACACAGGAATAATTGAATAAAATAAGATCCAAATATAAATTAAACAATAAGTTAACAGTTAATTATTGCTATAAAAATTTTATTGTACGAAGGACCGTGTTTAAATGATCGGAAACTCCCGCACATACATATTTTTTAATTATATTTGGGGGGTTTTTTTATGAATATTTTATTGTTACTGTATCCGATATTGGTTTGTTTGATTTTCTAGATTGGTATCATTACTGCAGTTACGAATAATATCTGAACAACTTTCACATTTTACTAATTATAATAACAACTACTGTATGAACCCGAGTTTACGTTAGAATTTCACCAAATTCAAAGGATTTTTTTTCTTTTTATCAATTTAATATAAAAAGTATTCATGTTCTTATTTAAGTTCTGCAAATCAAAGACCTGTAAGTAATAATTATAGTTTTCACTTAGTCCCCGTTAAGATTATGATCTTACGTAATTAATCACTATACAGTAATTACTAAATTTTGTAAATTACGTAAATGTCAAATCGAAATGACAAGAATACTGATCATATAGTGATTAATTACATAATATTACTATTCTAACAAGGACTAAATTCGCTGAAATTATTACTTACAGGTTTTTGCTTTGCAGCACTCATATCTAAACTATTCATGCGTATAAACTTAAATAAGTTTATCGTGAGATATCCTTTAATCAATACAAATTTTCTTTGTTTACTATATTTATCAACCACAATAATCAAGACTTACTAAGAATTATATGCATTAACTTAAAAAATTTTATTATAAATACACATATTTTCTTGCTTTTACCGTTCTTTATCCATTGCGATATATATAGAAATACTAACATGAATCTCGAAGTTCGCGTACAAAACTTGGTGGCTCAGACTCAAACTCAAGAAAGTAGACAAAGCATGAATCTCGAAGTTCGTGTACAAAACTTGGTGGCTCAGACCCAAACTCTAGAAGGTAGACAAAGCATGAATCTCGAAGTTCGCGTACAAAACTTGGTGACTCAGACCCAAACTCAAGAAGGTAGACAAAACATGAATCTCGAAATTCGCGTACAAAACTTGGTGGCTCAGACCCAAACTCAAGAAGGTAGACAAAGGATCTTTAATTCAAATTTAGATTTTCATGCTAAAAATTTAATACGAGCATATAGAAGAAAACCCATCAAAGGATTCAATTTATTAAGAATGATCATTAACAACGAAGGTCTTCAAATAAATGAAACAAATGGCTGTGTTATCAGTCAATCTGTAAGAAGAATATGGGGAAATTTTACTCCAGCTGAAAAATCAATTTTCAAAAACTTCGCATCTCGAATTCAAGAAATAGTTAATATTGGAAAATTTTAAACTTTTTAATCTTTCGTTGGCAAAATCTTTTATGAATAAGAAAATTTAAATTGGCAAATTTTTTGGATAAAGCTTTTCGTTGTAAAATAATTTTATTGAGGTATCTTATAGATACATCCTTTTTTTTATGAATAGAATATAATATGTATGTAACAAGATTTCAGCAAAACTTAAATTATTTAGTAAATAGATATGTATTTTAATAGAAATTATTTCTTTCTATCAAAAATTTTTAAAATTATTAACGATGTTATAGCTTATTTATATGACATGATAATCCTAAAAACGATTAATAAAAATTATTTATTACTTTTTATTAGAAATTTTTATTTATATAATAATGAATTACATGTATTTTGTAACCATATATTATATTTATATATAGGAATAGGCAAATCGTGGATTTTTCAAACAGCTGGCCAGAATTATACCAGCTAGCCTGAATTTTAAAAATAACACTCGCAGCCTCTCAAAAATTTTGCGCAGTGAAATAATACCCAGGCTACGCAGTGGCCCATCCCTAATTATAAATAATATATAGTTATTTGTAAAATACTCTATTATCTGGCTGGAAAATTTAATGTTTCGGCTTCTGGGCTCCTTTCGGAGCCCAGAAGCCGAAACATTAAATTTTCCAGCCAGATAAAAGTTTTTTATTGATGATCTATTAAATAAGTCTTATTCAAAATATTTTATATTAAGCTAGACGACTTGATTCTGTGTTTTACATCCCCCCTCATAGTAAAAAAATTTTAGGTAAATGCGGCAAATGCACATAGAACACGGGGTTATACCAAAAAATTTTATATAACGAAAATTTAAAATGTAAACCCTGTAATTCTCTCTTTCGAATTGTCTGGCCTTATCATAATTTTATGAAAAATGGTACACGGAAATGCATGAACAAATACGGATAAAGTACGTATTTCAATTTTTTAAAACAAGTAAACGTACAGTACAACAAAAAAACCGGTGGCGTTCACTTCACCTACATGCTTATTTTACAGATAACCAATTCACCATCAAGTTCATTTAATAGACATCTTATTTTACAGATAGCTCATTTCATAGGTATTATTGTTATTAGAATTAAGGTTGGGGCCGGATTTATTATTAGAGTTAGGAATTATAAAAATAA